TCTGCTTAAGATTCTGACATCAAAACGTCAGTAATGTTAATGTCCACCCTGAAGGCCAGTTGTCAGAGCCATCTTGGCTTAATTACCTTCTTGATGATATTTATTTTGGGCAAAAATTAGTCGGCTCTGTTATTATTATTATTTTTATTTTTTGCTTCGCGTTTATACTTCCCCCGCACCAACCGATTAGCACGGTTCGATACGCATGGTGCTAAAGAAGTTAAACATACATAGTGACTTCAGGCGGGGGTTGCCAGCCTTCGGCTGAGGGCACCGGCTCCAGGGGGCTTTGCTCACAGGGGTGGAAGAGGTCACCTGTCATGTGCCACGCTGTCCCCGTCGTGTGGCTGGCAGACTTGACAGTCTTTATTTAAACAGGCGAGATGCCATACGGAGATGCAGATCTCCCTTCTCAAGGGGAGAGCTGGACAGGTAAAGTAACGCAAGGTAGGATGTAAAGTAACACAAGGTAGGATGTAAAGTAATACAAGGTAGGATGTAAAGTAATACAAGGTAGGATGTAAAGTAACACAAGGTAGGATGTAAAGTAATACAAGGTAGGATGTAAAGTAACGCAAGGTAGGATGTAAAGTAATACAAGATAGGATGTAAAGTAATACAAGGTAGGATGTAAAGTAATACAAGGTAGGATGTAAAGTAACACAAGGTAGGATGTAAAGTAATGCAAGGTAGGATGTAAAGTAATACAAGGTAGGATGTAAAGTAACACAAGGTAGGATGTAAAGTAATACAAGGTAGGATGTAAAGTAATACAAGGTAGGATGTAAAGTAACACAAGGTAGGATGTAAAGTAATACAAGGTAGGATGTAAAGCAATGCAAGGTAGGATGTAAAGTAATACAAGGTAGGATGTAAAGTAACACAAGGTAGGATGTAAAGTAACACAAGGTAGGATGTAAAGTAACACAAGGTAGGATGTAAAGTAACACAAGGTAGGATGTAAAGTAACACAAGGTAGTATGTAAAGTAATACAAGGTAGGATGTAAAGTAATACAAGGTAGGATGTAAAGTAATACAAGGTAGGATGTAAAGTAATACAAGGTAGGATGTAAAGTAACACAAGGTAGGATGTAAAGTAATACAAGGTAGGATGTAAAGTAACACAAGGTAGGTTGTAAAGTAACACAAGGTAGGATGTAAAGTAATATCAGGTAGGATGTAAAGTAACACAAGGTAGGATGTAAAGTAATACAAGGTAGGATGTAAAGTAACACAAGGTAGGATGTAAAGTAATACAAGGTAGGATGTAAAGTAACACAAGGTAGGATGTAAAGTAATACAAGGTAGGATGTAAAGTAATACAAGGTAGGATGTAAAGTAACACAAGGTAGGATGTAAAGTAATACAAGGTAGGATGTAAAGTAACACAAGGTAGGATGTAAAGTAACACAAGGAAGGATGTAAAGTAATACAAGGTAGGATGTAAAGTAATACAAGGAAGGATGTAAAGTAACACAAGGAAGGATGTAAAGTAATACAAGGTAGGATGTAAAGTAATACAAGGTAGGATGTAAAGTAACACAAGGTAGGATGTAAAGTAACACAAGGAAGGATGTAAAGTAATGCAAGGTAGGATGTAAAGTAATACAAGGTAGGATGTAAAGTAATACAAGGTAGGATGTAAAGCAATGCAAGGTAGGATGTAAAGTAATACAAGGTAGGATGTAAAGTAACACAAGGTAGGATGTAAAGTAATACAAGGTAGGATGTAAAGTAATACAAGGTAGGATGTAAAGTAACACAAGGTAGGATGTAAAGTAATACAAGGTAGGATGTAAAGCAATGCAAGGTAGGATGTAAAGTAATACAAGGTAGGATGTAAAGTAACACAAGGTAGGATGTAAAGTAACACAAGGTAGGATGTAAAGTAACACAAGGTAGGATGTAAAGTAACACAAGGTAGGATGTAAAGTAACACAAGGTAGTATGTAAAGTAATACAAGGTAGGATGTAAAGTAATACAAGGTAGGATGTAAAGTAATACAAGGTAGGATGTAAAGTAATACAAGGTAGGATGTAAAGTAACACAAGGTAGGATGTAAAGTAATACAAGGTAGGATGTAAAGTAACACAAGGTAGGTTGTAAAGTAACACAAGGTAGGATGTAAAGTAATATCAGGTAGGATGTAAAGTAACACAAGGTAGGATGTAAAGTAATACAAGGTAGGATGTAAAGTAACACAAGGTAGGATGTAAAGTAATACAAGGTAGGATGTAAAGTAACACAAGGTAGGATGTAAAGTAATACAAGGTAGGATGTAAAGTAATACAAGGTAGGATGTAAAGTAACACAAGGTAGGATGTAAAGTAATACAAGGTAGGATGTAAAGTAACACAAGGTAGGATGTAAAGTAACACAAGGAAGGATGTAAAGTAATACAAGGTAGGATGTAAAGTAATACAAGGTAGGATGTAAAGTAATACAAGGTAGGATGTAAAGTAACACAAGGTAGGATGTAAAGTAATACAAGGTAGGATGTAAAGTAACACAAGGAAGGATGTAAAGTAACACAAGGAAGGATGTAAAGTAATACAAGGTAGGATGTAAAGTAATACAAGGTAGGATGTAAAGTAACACAAGGTAGGATGTAAAGTAACACAAGGAAGGATGTAAAGTAATGCAAGGTAGGATGTAAAGTAATACAAGGTAGGATGTAAAGTAACACAAGGTAGGATGTAAAGTAACACAAGGTAGGATGTAAAGTAACACAAGGTAGGATGTAAAGTAATACAAGGTAGGATGTAAAGTAACACAAGGTAGGATGTAAAGTAATGCAAGGTAGGATGTAAAGTAATCCAAGGTAGGATGTAAAGTAATACAAGGTAGGATGTAAAGTAATCCAAGGTAGGATGTAAAGTAACACAAGGTAGGATGTACAGTAATATCAGGTAGGATGTAAAGTAACACAAGGTAGGATGTAAAGTAACACAAGGTAGGATGTAAAGTAACACAAGGTAGGATGTAAAGTAACACAAGGTAGGATGTAAAGTAATACAAGGTAGGATGTAAAGTAATACAAGGTAGGATGTAAAGTAACACAAGGTAGGATGTAAAGTAATACAAGGTAGGATGTAAAGTAACACAAGGTAGGATGTAAAGTAATACAAGGTAGGATGTAAAGTAACACAAGGTAGGATGTAAAGTAATACAATGTAGGATGTAAAGTAACACAAGGTAGGATGTAAAGTAATACAATGTAGGATGTAAAGTAATACAAGGTAGGATGTAAAGTAATACAAGGTAGGATGTAAAGTAATACAAGGTAGGATGTAAAGTAATACAAGGTAGAATGTAAAGTAATACAAGGTAGGATGTAAAGTAACACAAGGTAGGATGTAAAGTAATACAAGGTAGGATGTAAAGTAATGCAAGGTAGGTCGTGTGCTTTTTGGAAGGTCGTATACATTTCGGAAAGCCATGGACGCCCACGTCTCTGAGAAAGCGTAATACATTTTGGCTCTGATCTCGAGCTTTGCCAAACAACTTAAGTGAAATCAATTTAACTTGAAAAAAAAGTTAATTGAAAACCCTGTGTATCGCCAACAATAACGTCAACAAACAATCTACACTAAATAATCTTGAGTGTTTTTTGTTTTGTCTTGGCACCACTTGCACAGCAGCGTGGAGATAGACGATGGTCCTCGTGCCCTGATGCCTGCAGATTAATTTGGACTCCTACCTAGAGGCAGCAACAATCTCCCACGGCAGGGAAAGATACCATTAAAACCACCACCCAGCAAGACCCCTCGCGGCTCAGGACAGGACACTGGCAGCGGCGCTAGAAATCCCTTCTCCGCACGTCCCAGTGGATGTCTGTCGTCCGGAGCGCTCTGCTTCCCACCATAGACACCTCGCGCACCCAAGCTAAGCGACAAGGCCTCGCGGTCGACGACGTAGAACCTGAAAGGATATCCCGTTGGCTTCCATCGCTGGCACAAAGCGTCTGAAGTGGGCTCTTTGTCGGCGCGTTCAAAACATTTCTGAATGGATTTTTTTTTGTTATTTGTAAATGACAGAAGCGAAATGTTTCTGCAGCACTGCAGAGTCCTTGGCCTTTTTTTAAACAGCTGTTTGCACACTTTACATGAGTTTAATATGCATGAATTGTATTTAAAAAAAAATACCAAGCAACAATTGAAACACGTGTTTCAATTCAAGGCTCTTAATTGCAATGCAGAGTGAGTGCTTATGCAGCCCTCCGCTGAGTGACTGACTGTCCCGGATGTCACACACGGCGTTCACCTTGAGCAAAAATATTTTTTTAAACACCTGGACATTAAAGGCCTCCGCACTCTCTCTAAGTGGTAACGATTAAACTCCCCCTGCCGAGAATCGATGAACTCTCCTGATTTGTTATCACGATTGCATTCGAGAATTGATTCTTATCCCATCGCATATGTTCAGTTTCCTTTGCACTATAAGTAAGGCAATCGACAATGCATTCATTTATCAAATAAAAATCTGCAAACGGCCACTGTGCACCAAGTAACATCTGTAACAGGTGGTCTTATCCTGCTGCAGGGCTACATTTTGAACATCAGCGGACAATGCAGAAAAATCCCTCATTGTACTGTACTTCTACGCTCCCATAGTATATGTTCTCCACCTTCAACTTGTACCGAGCAAGGTAGTGAAATAAGTGAAAATAATAAAATGAATGGGGCACCGAGGTGGCTAGATGTTCACTCCCTTGCCTGGTATACAGGAGATCGTGGTTTTCGATCTCGACCCTAACGCCTGTATATCTGGAGGTTACATGTTCTCCCCGTGGTCGCGCGGATTTATAAAAACATGCGTTTACATTTACACATGATAAGCACACTTCGTTGACGAGGGCCCGCACAGGGCCCTCAGCATTGGATCGACAAACGGGGGGCTGCAACAGCCGCGTGCGATCAAGCTGAGCGGACGTTTCGTGAGAGCGCACGAAGACGTGAGTGCGGGCAAGCGCGTGTGATCGGAGGGGGCCGTGTGTACCTGAGTTGACTTCAAGGGCGGCGTCCTGGCTGTAGCGCTTCTTCGCCGAGTTCGAGGCTACGCAGCGGTACGACCCCTCGTCCGCGAGCTCCACTTTCGCGATCTGCAGCACGCCGTTGGGCAGCGCCGTGAACCTAGCGGGGGGTAAAGGTGGACGCACGTGCGCTTGATTTGTGAGCAACACCAGCAGCATCAACAGCAGTGGTAAACAGCAGGGTCCCTCGGTGATCAAGACAAGCGTGATTACGTAGGTGGTGGTTAGTCGCGTCTATCCCCTCAAGCGCACTGCGAGACATTTGCTCATCCAGCCGGCGCAGCTGCATTCGAGGAAATGAAAGGCATGACTATCCTGAGCAGGCAACTTCAAGAAAAACAACATCATCATCATGAACATCATCATTGCTAGCATCATCATCGCTGGAACAATTTAATCGAATAATATATTCTCTTCTTTAACACTGTGGTGAATAGTAGCGGCCTCTGGAGGCTGAGGAGGCTACGGTGTTGCCAACAATACACGAATTGGTAAAAAAAAAATCTCATTCTCAACACACGCAATTCCATGCGCGCGTATCGCGAGATCCATCAATCGATGAATCGATGCGATGTTAAACCTCTGGCGCGGAGCGACGGGGTGCCAAGACCCGAGTGGGTCCTCGAGCTATCAATGTCAGCTGCACGTGGCGGAAAAGCCGCTACAGTTGGGCACAGGCCAAGGAGAACGGAGCCAAGTGAAGCCGGGCCGAGGGCCGAGGGCAACCCGGCTTGGCTCGACCGGCGCGCCTGGCATCTGCTCAAGCCGCCCACCGCCGCTTTATCCTTTCTCTTCCCCCACCATTAAAGGGCGCGGGTTATTTATTTATTTACTCTCACGCACGCGCGTGTAGGAGCGCAAATGTAACGTGCCGAGGCCACGTTACATTTGCAATCTGGATTTTTCGACGCAGCCACTGCGGCAGCTCCGGCCACTGCACACAACAGTAGGACGGGGTCCCACCACCTGGTTGGAAAAGGCAAGGTGTTTGTATTTTTTTTTAAGCGAGCCGAAATTGTAACAACTTCACAGATGGTGGACAACGAGTTGCAGACAAGGGGGTAAAAGGAATGTGTTGAGTGAGACTTGACATGGACACGGACAGAGTCGGTAGCAAGGCTGTCCAGGGGATGGATTTCCAGAACCCACGAGCGGCAGTAGAAAAGAAAAGACTTCCCATTGAGCGCAGTTGGTTGACGGTGTTGAGCGTTTTGCCACGCAATGGCACATGAAGATGTTGAAAATATTTGCCCGTAGGATCCATGAGAATGATGGTCCATGAGCATTTAAGCCTCGATGATGATTGGGGATCTTGCCTGGTTTAAATTAAGGAAGCGAATGAGTAAATGAATGAGCGTTTGGTAGGCGTCTCGCCGGCGCTGCGTGGGGAGGTGTGGGACATTGTGGGGTTGAGCATCGAAAAAATGGGCAGATGGCTCCTGTTGTCCCACCTGGCTCTCACCAGGATGGACGCATCGTGTCTTAATTACCGCCCTACTAATGAGGAAATCAGGTGCTCTGCAATAATATGGCCACGTGTGTATTGTATACTTTATGAATAGAGCTGAATAAATGTGTTTAGTTAATGAGTTTATTGTTTGGAATATGTACAAATAATTGCAATGGCATTAATCACAACTGTTGTTTTTACTCCCATGCTGTTGAGGTTGTCACCCATGGAATGCAATAATAATGATTCCCTTTGTTTACAATGGAAAGCCTCAGTTAGCCTCAATACTATTTTTACGCAGGGGTCATGGAATGGGAAGTTTGATCAATTATATTCATGAGAGTTTGGCATGAAAGTAGAAACACACGAGGGGATAGCGTTCAAAGCTCTTGAATCCTTCAGTATGCTATTGGACCACCTCCGAGCGCAATGGGTATTTCACATGGTATTTAATGCACAATAGAAATGCCTTTTTCCCCAATAATATTCCTATCGTGCTGTCAGCCATCGCGTTATAAGCCTGAAACATTTCCATTTTTGGAACTGCAGCTAAGTAGTGCATCACCCCATGTCAGAGAACGGCAGTGGGAAGTTGACATGACAGGCCTCCTTATCCGTAGTAGAAGCGCACGCCATTCATGGCCTGCAAAGAGTGTTTGTTCCATGTGAAAACTGAAAATGTTAATTTTTACAGCTAGAAGAAGCAAAATTCTGTGAAAAACCAAATGTGATTTTCAGCCAGTCAACAATGATTGGGTGAGACCATCAACTCCCCATACTTGTTTTAACCACGGATGGCTGAAACTTGAATTTAAATACAAGGTTTTCAGTAATTATGGCTCAGTGTTCTAGCCCTTGAAAATGAAACAGTTACATATGCTTGTTCACCCAACCACACTAAAAGGGAAGATCCCCCATATAGCCACTAAAGGCTGTAGGGACGAGTGCTGTTAATGAGCTATTAGCTGTCATGGGGCATGATATGGTGGGGCTACCAGTACCACAACTGGCTGTCCAGTCTCCCCAGCAATGATGATGTTTTGCTCAACTGCAAGTACTTATTTACAGCTGCGTTAACCGACGGAAGATGCCACCGATGTTAACCATGTTTTCGGAAATCGACACACAGGTTATCGGGATCATAGCACATTGCGATATCCGCTGCACTACCGCTCCCCAACACATACAGACGCGGGCGCGCAAAGCAATACCTCAACATGCACAATCCTGGGGGCCCTCTTATGAGTGCAGATTAAATGTTACAGCACCACAGTGACCGGCGACCAGCGCTCGCATTAAAATGTCAGGGGCAAACGTTTTAAAAAAGAGAAACAAGAGAGAGAAAAATCCCATCGGAAGCATGGTTCTGTTTGAAATATCTCGGCTTCACGCTTGCGCTTGATGGACGTGGCAACGCGCTAAAGAGATTGGGATTAAGTGGTCACAGCTGCACGTTACTTACGAGAGACACCCAGAGCGAATAATTACCCGCAGTGGCATAATTACACTGGTTATGCACACAAACTAATCACCGCTACCGTTGTTGCTTTGGCCCGAAGTGGGGGGAAGGCAGATGCAGGAGAGGCGATAATATTATTGGGGAGCTCACAGCGTTTAGTGTTCTCTTTTTCGCGTGGCCAGGAATAAGAGCGAGAAATGGATCTGCACGTGGAGTCGAGGGTCTACGGCGTCACAAAATTAACCCTTTCCCGTCCCGATGACGTACGATGATGTACACGTACTTCATCTGAAAAGGAATCGGAAGAAAAACTAACATAAAATAACTTTATCGGTATCGAGGCTCCCACAAGGCCATGCGGGAGGGCGTGTGGCAGAGTGTGACGCCAGCTATCGTAGACTGCGGTTGTGTCGCGACGGTTCTCTGCGGCGAGTAACGACGTCTCGAAAAAAAAAAACGTCACGACGCCTTCCTAAATAAAATCAACAGAATGGGGAAAGGGTTAACGGTATCCCGGAGCTCGGGATGCCGTTAACGCGCGCGTCCGTAGTGCCACAACGCTCGCTCGCTCTTGCGTGCCTCTCACGCGCGTGGGTCCAGCCAACGGCCAGGCACGGGCGCTCGGGCCGTTCACAAAACGTTCAGCGCGGCGGTGGCGGTGCCTGGTGTCGTAAATATTTCACGGAGCCGAACGGAAAAGTTAAGAAGTATTTTGAGGGCGTCGGCAGAAAAGCAATCGCGGCAGGAATTTGGCAAGATGACAGTTTAATGAACCTAAGGCTAGAAAGTAATGAGAATCGAAATTGTAGCTTTATCATTCCAAATCTCATCAGCCGGCTGCTGAAAATACTTTTCGATTTTTTAGCACGGAGATTTAGAAATCCTATACATTCCTAAAAGGGTTTACGTTATGTTTATACTACAACTTTCAAAGAGACATAAAATCCTTTAGGTTTTATGGGAAACCCGTGATTTAGGTATATGATACATTAATAAAAAAAAGTATTAAACCCACTGTAAATAAAAGCAGTGAGAACAGTCATTGTAAAGCTCTAAAGCTCTTTGCAGGCAGTTGGCTGCTTTGATTATTTTTTTTGACAACTCGCAAGCCCACCAACGTGACTTCGTTGCATTATGGCAGGGCCGTCGCCCAACCCTTGGTTTTCAAGGCAGCCTGGCAAGAGCTGGCAAGAGCTGGCAAATTACCGTCCTCTCCACGCACCTCCGATTAGGGCTCTTTACTGGCTCGTAAAACGTAATGATAATTATCAAGGCATTCCGCGCGTGTAAACGCACTCCACAAAAACTACACCTGCGATGCTACCTGCGGTACTGCCTCTCTCCACGCCTCACGATGGACAGGGGTGCTGGGTGGGGCTCCTGCTCTGGGGGGGGGGGGGGGGGGGGGGGGGTTCAGGAGCTAAAAGCCCACACGCGTGCCTGATGAAGGCTTGTGCCAGCGGGCACGGCAATAAAATGCCACGCCGCACGTTTAAAGAGCACATTTACTTGCTTCATTAACTATCGCTTCAAACATAAATATTGGTGCGGAGTGATGTTGTGCGTTTGAGGCTCGGGCGTTTGTGTGTGGGATACCCACTATTTGAAGTTCCCCCCGCAGGGACGTCTTGAGTGGATTTGAGATTTAGCCGGGGCGATAAGACGCTGCCGAGACTGAGCGAGCGGAACCCACGGCCCTCGCCGTTTAAAAATAATCATCCGGCATTACATCGCGACTGTGCGTCAGGGTGCAGCATTTTCACCGTCACAATTGGGAATCACGATTCAACAAACACCCCCCCCCTCCCCCACTGCCCCCTGGGATCACTGCGCCACAACACTGAACGAGGGGCCAAGCACGAGCATAAACGGCAAGAGCGTACGGAACCTGGGAACATACGGGCATTTGGAAACTGTACAACGCAGTGTGGTGGTCACATTGCATGAATGCGCTACGAACCCGGTGACCCGAGTTTGATTCCCGCTCACGGTCAACACCAGTGACGATTATCTGAACCCGTCCTGGGCCCCCCCCCCCTAGATCGACTCAGCCTCAAAACGAAGACCTGGTGCGGTATGTAAACATCGCCTCTGGGTAGACAAAGGCGGCCGGTCGTGGTGCTGCCCATCCACCCCCTCGTGTGCCGTGCAGGCCTTCACAGGTGCTATAGGTGCTACTCGCGAACAGCATTTGCCACAACAGTATGTTAAGACTATCGGGGTGGTTTGTTGGAGCACAGAGGGACGGAGCGGGGGACGGTGGTCGTGGCGGCGGGGGCTGGGGGGGGGGGGTGGTGAAGGGTTCTCACCGCGAGTCGGGCGGCAGAGGCGTGTGGTCCCTCTCCCACGTGATGACGGGCGGCGGTGAGCCCTCGATGCGGCACTGCAGGCGCGCCACGCTCCCCTCGGGCACCTTCTGCGGCACCGGGTGCTGGGTGAACTTGGGCAGCACTGGAGTCGGCGACCCGGCGGCGCGCACGCAGCACGGACAAAGGACATCAGAAAAAGCCACGCGTGCACCGAGCCACAGGGTGGACATTCCTCTCGTCCGATTGGTTAGCACGGTCGCACCTCCCATTAGCACGGTTGGCTACGTACGGTGTGAAAGAAGTTTGACATAAGGAACTGAATCCCGTTCACCGACGCAAATGACGCCCTTCATCCGCACGCCACAGCGCAGATAAGAACACAGATCAAAGGCGGCATTGTCTGTAGGGATGCTGCCATGGTATAGTGATTGGCGGACTGGGCTCACAATCCAGAGGCCGCTAGTTTACATCTCCCATCGCACAGCGGTAGAGGACAAAGTATCTTCAACCCCGCCGCCTCCGTCCACCCAACAGTATAAATGGCACACAGCTGCTAGTCCGCTGGTAGGTAGCGTGTTGTGGGATAAAGTTTGGGTATTTACGCATCTTCCAGAATGTCTGGCCAGCCTGAAAACAGAGGCCAAATACCCTCCGGAGGGCTTCTTTAGAGCTCACTTTAGTGGATGTCCTTCCACCAGCAGTGGCGAAACAATACAATTGTAGGACCGCACAATTAGCTATTAGGTGCCCTTCATTTATGAAAAGGTGAGAGTGAAAGAGAGAAAGGTTTACTTTTAAAAGTATATCTGGGTTTAAACACAATTTACCGATTGGGGTCTGAGGACACCACTCCGGAACAAGCCTACAGGACAAATCAAATTGCCAGTGGCCCAATCTGACCATGGATAAAAGCTCGGCACGGGAAGATGGATGAGGGGGGGTTCAATTGGGTGTCTAGGGGCTCTGCCCCTTCAACCACCCCCCCCCCACTATAAAATGAGATGTATGACAAACTAAAACAAACCCCTGAATTACATTAATGCCATTTAATGCCACCTACATTCATACCGTTTAACAACATTCATACCGTAAAGTAACGTAGAAGGGAAACAAAATAATACAAATATAAAACAATAAAATTCTCATGATGTTTCGACTACAACACAAGCAATCATCATCAGGTGTGAAAACCGCCATCATGACTGCGGCGCCACTTTGGGCCAACGACCGAGATACAAAGATACGCAGGACAAATAATTTCGAAAAAATGTATTTTGTAAAAAAAAAAATCTCCAAGTTTATCCCAATTGTGCTATCGGCGTCAGGTGATGAGACGATTCAATCCAATCGGATCTCTCGCAGAGAGCAGTGCAAACCCTTCGTGTTCGAGAACGGCCCACGGAAGCGGTTATCACAGAGCCACCTCTGAGGTCCTGTCTCGTGACCTCTGGTCCACAAAGTAGAGGGCAGCACTATCTCACCCGCTCTGCATATGAGAGCAATCATTTGTCGCACGACAGACTGATGTTTCAATTCTCAGAGCTGGAATTGAGCTATATTTATTGCAGGTGATACTTTTGTGTGTGTGTGTGCAGCTTTAGTAACCGGGCTGAAACTATCAACTCACTGCACTTGGGAACCCGGTTTAATCACACGTGCTTGTCTGGATCTCACCAGCGGTCAGCTCTGAGCCACAGGGCAACCTCACGCTGCAGGCAGATTGCGGCACGAGATGGCAGACACTTGACGTGGGTCAGCCCTGCTATGCTGATAGGTAATACGGTGCTGGCTGGCTAGTAATGCTGAGGTGTTTTTGACCGAGATTCAGGGCAGTGTTCTCCCACTGCAGATTGAAGCAAATGAACAGGAATGGGTATCACGCAGATCAGCCGCTGGGCCCCATTAAGGAAAATAATAAGAAAAATGTCCGTGAAACCAAAAATAAAATCCCCTTGAGGGGAAAAAAAAATGCTCTCTTCTTGCACCCAATTACCCATGAGCGAAAGACGGGAGTGGGGTGTGAAAGAGCCACTGCGTGGTCACTTCTGCTTGACAACGTTTACGCCATTAAAAATTAAACATGAAATAAAACTTTCGGGGGGGGGGAGAGGAGCGAGGAAAACAAACTGGGGAGACCCGACTGATGGTCCATCCTTAAATCACCGCTCAACGGGTTACGCTCTCCGCTCGCTCGATCAAAACAAGCCCCCGGTGCTGGCTCAATGCGAGCGCGCGATGACGATCCCCCGTCACAGACGACACTCTTGCTCGGCCGGTCAGCCAGCGGTTGATCCCCCCAGATGGACTCGTTTTGTTGCTGTTGAGGAACTGGAGGTTTTGGCCGAATCCAGACGCAGCCCAAAAACGATTTTCAATAAATAGATACGCCGCACACTGGTCACCAGCTCGTTTAGAATTCCATGCTTATCAAGGAAAACGATGCCTCGGTCATGCCAACGTTGCATAAACATAACTCCGCTCAATCCAAATAAGCCCATTAATCCCTACACCTTGGAAAAACAAAGGCGTAGGAGAAAAATACATTTCCTCAAACTTCTTTTTTTTAATCATTGGTACGAAAATACCCATGGGGGGCTGAAGGCTTTTTAGAATACTTTGGCTCAATAGCGGGGAGTGAGGGAGGCTGAGCGAGTCGGAGGAGGTGAGGGAAGGGCAAGAGTTGGGTGATGGTGGGTGGGGCGCGGGGAATGGTTTCAAAAATAAAGTCAATAAAATGTGATGACGGACGGGCCGCCCAAGTCTTTCCAACAAAAATAAAGTCCCTGTAAGCATTCCAGCCATTTCGAACAGCGAGCGGGCCGTCAAACAATGAGGGCCTCTGAACATGCAGGCGCCGACCGCCCACGATTGCAGCCAGCAGCGTGTTTCCCACTCCGCGTGGCGGGGACATGAAACGTAGCGTGGCGAGCGACACACACACACACGTGGCTCAAGGCAGCAGCAGCAGCAGATGAGAGCCAATTAAGGCTGAGAACTCATTATGCAAACGCGATCGTATCTCTCTTCGCTCCTGTCACACTGCGCGACAGCCCACGGTGGAAACCTCGACAGCAGCCCAACTCTCAACCTTCCTCGCTACACCCAGGGCCAGGCGCCCCCCCAACTCTCAACCTTCCTCGCTACACCCAGGGCCAGGCGCCCCCCCAACTCTCAACCTTCCTCGCTACACTCAGGGCCAGGCGCCCCCCCCCAACTCTCAACCTTCCTCGCTACACCCAGGGCCAGGCGCCCCCCCAACTCTCAACCTTCCTCGCTATACCCAGGGCCAGGCGCCCCCCCCCAACTCTCAACCTTCCTCGCTACACCCAGGGCCAGGCGCCCCCCCCCCCAACTCTCAACCTTCCTCGCTACACTCAGGGCCAGGCACCCCCCCAACTCTCAACCTTCCTCGCTACACCCAGGGCCAGGCGCCCCCCCCAACTCTCAACCTTCCTCGCTATACCCAGGGCCAGGCGCCCCCCCCAACTCTCAACCTTCCTCGCTACACCCAGGGCCAGGCGCCCCCCCCACCCACCCCGCCGCCGCCGCCGTCTGGAACGCGGCCCGGTGGCGACGTTTCAATCCGCAACGACTTTCAAGAGACACCGAGAGGAGGCCCCGTCTCTGTCGCCCGCTTTTACAGCGACGCTGAGCTTGGCTGAGCTTGACCCCGCGTCTCGAAGTCACGGTCGCCAATGTCAGTAAAATAATTGCCCGCGTTATAAATTGCATTAATATGATGACGATTTTGATGATGAATTATAACGAACGTGTCGGGTGATGTTTTGAATTTGATCATGCGGTCATCGGAAGCGAATCTCACGTCTCACCCTTGCCAAGTATCAATCAACGGAACCTATTTTCTTACTCGTATAACTAAGGCGAGAGGACATTCACTGGGGAGATGGAGCGACGAGATAAGCGCGTGCGTAGGAGGGAGCTACACGGATTGTTGCATCGTAACGACCACGAGAGATGGCGACGGTCAATGCTCTGTGCACCGCGAGATCATGGCTGGTGATGACAGTGAATCAGGGGAAGGACTCCATCCGTCCTTGCTCATCAGTGTTCGATTTAAAAAAAAAAGATTTACATCCCTTTGGCAATCCACTGCTTGAAGTAGGACTACCCCATACTGTCAGTCATGGCATTTGTTTGACCATACTTCACCACTCTGGGCGGTGCTTTTGGTGAAAGGTGAATGGGCGGGGAGGTGGGGGCGGTGCATGAACAACGATTCAGATCTCGATACCCGTGGTGGGGGGGAATCAAACTCCGGCTGGCGGGTGCTGAGCGCAGTTCGCGAACAACTGCACCACGGCACCTTTCTCTCTCTCTCAGCTGCCAAATGAAACGAAGAGGCAATTCACGACACCGAGCGCCCTGCCCCTACAGCGCACAAATCAACGCGACCCACGACAAGTGGTTTGCTAAACGGCAATATTGGAAATAAGGTTAACATTTCTGTATCGGGGCCACGGTCAAATTAGGCTACTAAGCTGTGCCGGGGTAGGCATTAACGATGGCTCTCCCCACGCCTCGGCAGACAACCTTCATCCGATTCCACCACGACTCCCCCTCCCCTACCATGGCCACTGCCTCCACCACGGTCAAACTCCGCTCTCCCCGTGCACTTTTCCTGGAAATGTAAAATCGACAGAGGTGGTGGAGGATACGGGGGAGGGGGGGTGGTGAGTGCTGCGACGTGCGAGCGAGGGAGGAAGGGAGGGAGGGAGGGGTGAGTGTTGTGGGGGAGTCTGAGCTATGGCTGCTATTGTCCTTGGGCACAGATGAAGCAGGCAGGGAAGCAATGCGCTTCGCCTGCATTAGCAAAGCGCACCTGGCAAATCTTAACTCGGCTAAACGCACTCTCTGTGTTTGTTGTGGCGTGCGCGCGGCTGTGTGTGTGTGTGTTTTTTTTCTCTCTCTCTCCCTCTCTCTAAATAATTTTATCGCCGCAAGTTAATGATTTCGCAAACCGTCGTTGGCCTTGGTCATCTCTTTGCTACTGTACGGCATGTTGCGTGAGCAACTGCGGCAGTGAATGGCATGCAAGCGCGCACACATAGACACACTCGTAGGGGGGCAAAGACACAGAGCCAGATATCTCTGCTTAAAGCGATACAAAGTCAGACCCCCCCT